TATATTGCTTACTCATGTTAATGCACATCAAAGCTACTGCGTCTAAATAGAGTTAATTCAGTAGGAAACGTCACGAGTAGCTTAAGAGCGTTCTGTGAGGTGTTAGATGAAATATGATAGTAATTTGTGAATCAGTCCTTTGTAGCTTTACGTTTCCTGTTATTTGATTTAGAAGCTGAAATCTCCGCAGCGATTTTACGGTGTTGCCGTGTCATTTTACAGTCACCACTAGAAACATCGCCAAAAACCTGTTTTTCAAAGGGCTTCAAAGAGGTAAATAAGTTGTCGTCGAGGTAAACAGTCTTGAAATCGATAAATTGCTATCTTATTCGTTTTGTTGTATGGCGAAGGAAGTGATGCACCCATTTCCCTGAGTTTCTTATCAGCACGGCACTCGATCTGTCTTAGTTTAACACCCCCTTATTCCTACATGTTGACTTTGCTTTAATAGTTTTGCCTTTGCATTCAAAAAACGAAAACTAAAATGCATCAGTAGATTGACTTATCGATGTCCTTCGAGAGACCGAATAAATGGTTGGTCTTCGACCTTGATATTAATGGCTGAAACTTGTGGCGTTTTTCAAAATACAGAAATTTAGGTTGGGCTAACAAGCGTTGAAAATCCTCAAAAATACTAAATATACGATCTTGCCATGAAAATTAAGCAATTTCCATGAACTGAAAAGAAGGTGTAGTGACTGTATTTTAGAATGGCCGGAAAGAGTGGAAAACGTATAGTGAAGGTAGGCACCTAGAACGTTTTTAAAGTGTTGGGAATACATATTTCAGGATTAAGCATTTTAGAGATCTCCTGAACAGAACAAAAATTAGGTGAGGTCACTCACCAGAGCATTAAATCTCTCATTGCAGAAAGCTATCGAGCAATGTAACACAAAGTCTTAAATTCAAGAACCACACCAGGGCCAAACCACCTCTCAATTCGGTGTTACACGGTGTAGCTTGGGTAAAATTTACGATTCCTTTTAATTTTTTTAAGAAAATCTTCCTTCGCGGTTAATAAGCAGATTCCTGCACCGAAAAATGGAAGGATATAGGTTCGAAACAAGTAATTAAGGCAGTTCTTAAGTTTTTTTCCAACTTAAAGCAGCAGTCAACAATCTAGGAGCAAAATACACCTCCACATGATGTGTCTTGAAGCCTTGATCGAAAATACAGGAGCATCCGCTGACTAAAAGAATCATGGTGCTGCGACTTTCTGAAGGCTTCGATCCACACCAAATCTAGCAACCCCGTGGAGGAGCATTTCTACCATCGACGTTCCACTTGAAGTATTTGAGGTGACGTTGTGTCAAATTGGATATCCAAGGCAGTGACTTTGTCATTTTGAGCCAAAAATTTCTTACAAAAACTAAGCCAAAGTTATACAGTATACCATGATGAGCTTTTTGAAAGTGGTCAGCTATGACAAAACTGATACTTTTGTGGAATAGTTTAGTTGTTGTGGTCAATAAATGATGCTGTTCCAGTCTGTTATAATAGGACTTGTTGAATTTGCTGCCTGGTTTCAACTACAGATGCCAATACCAGGGTCATTATTTAGGTTCAACCCCACTGTATCTTACACAAGGCCAACCCTAACAATATCACAGCAAACTGGTCAAATGGACCAGTTCCCTTAATTTTCAAACAAAACAATTGCAATTTTATAGGATTCAGAACCAAAAGAACAGATGCTTTTGTGGAATAGTGTAGTTGTTGTTGTCAATAAATGTTTCTGTTCAATCTGTCATGATCACAATTTTTTTAATTTGCTGCTCGGTTTCAATGACAGATGTTAAGACCAGACCGATTCAGTATTTAAGTCTACGCCCACTGTATCTTACATGAGGCCGACCCTTCCAATACCCCAGCAAGCTGGTAAAATGCACCGGTTCCCTTGATTTTCAAACCAAAAAATGTAAAGAAGTCTACACCAACAACTTTACGATGGGATACAAAGAAATACCATTAGCTGATAAGTGGTTACCATCAAGCAGGGGAAGTTCTCTTTTTGTAATGGCCTCCTCCACCAACTTCATTGACCCTAAGGTGCTTCTTGAAATTTTAAACCTTTGTTGCTACAGCAGGTAGTCTTCATTAATACTTTGGATCGAATTTAACAGATTTCGTAGGCTGCAAGAATCATTAAAAGAGTGCCGTGGACATAGATCAACACAGTGGAGCTGGTGGTCCACAGCTATGCTCTATAGTGTCCCATGTTTCTCAAATTACCCGTACAGTCAGATATAAGAATACTTTTAATTAAATGTAAAGATTTTAATAACATTATTAATGTAGGCCCTTATTGACGCGGAGAATTCGAATCAATTTTTAGTCTTTCTTTCTCTCCATGTATAGATATACATTATTTTTTAAAACATATGGTTCACAAAAGTAAATTAGCATCAGCCGGGGTGATTGAGATATGTATATTTTTTTCATTTGACTAAATCATTTCGATCTGTATCTTGTACACTACACTACACTAGTTCACTACACTAGCTTACCAGTATCACAATCATCTTTAACAAATGGAGCTCCATTTGTTCCCATGGCAACCCAGAATAGTCTCTCGTCATTATTGAACCAATGAATCATGGGAATTTGTTTGTGTGAAGATCCATTTACTGATCTGCTAGCTTAAGGAGATATGGTTTAAATGGTCTGTAAAAACAAGCAACACATTCCATATTCAGTTGACTGCTCTGTGGCTAGTATTTGTAAATGTCTCACTTCTCCAATATCAATAGTTTTTGTGTGGCTTACACAACATGTGTAGCCACACTATGGCGCGATCGGATTTATTTATTTGTACACGAGAGTCGAGCACCTGTCACGTGGTCTAGTATCGTAGTATTGTACGGCGCACTAATCTGAGTCAGCCATCTTGATTGTTAGCGTGGTCTCGAGTAATTTTTGTCAGGTGATCGTATCACGAGTTAGTTCCCCTCACACAAGCCAATACATTCAGACCCGGCTTGTGTTATAAGTGCA